TTGAGGAGATCGTGGAGCAGGGTCTTCTGCAGCTTCTCGAGTCGAAAAGCCTCTTGATGCTCGCATAGAATGGTTTAGTGAGACGTCGCCCATTCATCACCAACCTACTGCTGACGATGCACGAATGGTTGTAAGCGCTGAACCAGGGGAAGTCGGTCGACTCATTTCCCTGACTTTGATCTTTAACCGTCACTTGTGTCTATCCTGTTATTGTTGAAAGCAGTTATTGTTAGCCCATCATGTCGTAATACTGTCCTAGCTCTGCTGTCTGCCTGGCGCTCCGTCGAACTTAGCAGGGGGAAACCGAGGCCAAGACTTTCCAGACCAGTGTATATTAAAGACAGAGAGCTGTTACATCTATAGGTCACATGTCCTCGCCTGTACCTTCCAATCCGATTGTACACTGCTGGGCCGATTACAGTTCCCTAGCTACACGTACTCGCGCTCTTCAGTATCTGGCTTCAGATCCGCTCACGCCTACCACATAGCACCCCGATCCATGATGACTGATTTTGTAAGCTGCCCTCGGCCACATAGTATACTGTGTCCTGGATGACGATCTGATTTCATTAACTTTCCGCGTGGCCTGCTTCGGCCCGCTTCGCGTTTTGCGACTGTGTCTCGGTATTCATCCCTTGCAGCCACCTAACATCAGTTATGAACGTGTTATCTCTTCACATACATTATTAATTCGGTAACAGGTGACCTGTTGAAATTCTATGATTCCTCTGCTCCCTCAATGGTTATGGAATTGGTTTCCTCCTATCGCCAACCATGGAAATAGTTGCTGATAGAGACCAAGCGCTATTTGTACGTACGCCCTATTTCGTCGATGCTACAGCCGTTCATCGCACATCAGTGTTTAACCTCGGTGAGCGCATTGCGAGTGGCATACAATTGCTGCACAGTCAGCTGCAGACCGGTGTTGTTCAGCAAACAGACTTTACATGTTCACTGCGTTGGCCCGTATACAAATGGAACGCAAATAGATTGGGGCGAGGCTACGCACATAGTGATTAGACCAGCAAACGGGTTTAGCGGAACTAAAGATCCAGAAAGCTTCATCACATCGATGACCACCTGCTCCTGCGAAGGCGTTGAGCCACCTGGCTGTCAACGGCCTTCGTGTTTTTCCGCAACTTCAGTGATCCAAGAAATTTCTTCTGGCCTCCGTGTTGCTTCATTCGGGCTTCTTGGACGTCTTGATTACTTTGTTCCTTCTCAAAAACCGTGTTCTCATCATCGTGGTAGCCGGCTCCTAATGGTATGCAATATACGCCAATCGCCTCGGTGCCTTGCGTCTTTAAGATCAAAACCTCCGGGTGCGGTCCCCTAAGTCAACCCTCTTTGTCGGTCTGGGCATCCGTAAAGCTGCATCCTCACAAAGTATGAACCAATATTTCAACAGCTTTCTGCCCTGTCTCTGCTGTTTGCCAAAGCTACCCTCTGCCGAGGGGCTTTCGGCCGAACACGTTAAATAGCGCTCTACCACGCCACAGTTCAGTTACTTGATTTCACGTTTGTTCAGCTCCCCCATCCTTATCAACCCCCCTCCGTTTCCGAGTCCATAACACCGGGCCGCCCTGGACAAGTGTTCTCGCCACACGGATAAGAAATTTAGGTCCAAGGGTGCGCCGACAAGTAGTACTGCCAAGCCCTTTCTAACACCCCGTTCCAAATTCAAGCTGGCGATTTTCAATGTTCAGACACTGCTGCGGATCGGATCACAAGCAGCCCTTGTTCGCACGCTTGAGATTACTTTCATCGATGTCTGCTGCCTCACTGAAACCCGATTACAGGACCCTGGCACGACGCTACGGCTGGTTCCATCGTCTGCGAGTTCCTCTGGCAATTTTACATTGCGATTATCTGGGGACTAAACTGCCGAAGCCGCGGGTCTTGTCGGCGTGGGGATTGCATTCAGCACACGTACTGTGACTGCTCTACTTGACTGGATCCCTGCCAACAGTCGACACTGCGCGATCCGACTTGAGACTTCAGTGCGATTTTCCAGTCGTGGGACTAGCAGACGTTGCTTGTTCATTGTAGCAGCGTACGCTCCCACAGACTGCAGCCCGGAGTCAGTTAAAGACGACCCTGCTGTCAACCGTCCAATTTTTTCCGAAAAGGCGCCATACGGGCATCGCGGTGCTTCCAAGGGACTTAAATGCGCAGCTCGGTAGACTTGAGGTTGAAGAGCGTGAACTCGTTGGTCAACATAGCTATGGCACTGCAGAACAGATAACGGTGATCGCTGATCATGGCCTCTTCCTGTCGAACGCTAGCCTAAGCCGATCCTGGCGCCAACGCGCGAACTGGAGACCTCCGTCTCCTGACCAGCCATGGACCCAAATTGACCATATCGCCATCTGTTATCGCTGGCGGACAGTGTACAGGATTTCAAATCAATCTGGAGTACTTACCCCACTTCAGATCAAACGCTCGTGTGTGCCGAGGTCGCTTTACGCTTTGGTAGCTTTCAACAACGTCGAAAAAGGCTTGACGTGGCTAAGCTTTCTGACCCAAGCGTTCTCAGCGCATTTCAGGATACCTCGGCCTCAAATCTCAAAAGCGCCCCAAGTAGTGACGCACTGGGCACATCCACAGCGCCATGTACAGCTCTGCAACCCTGGTCTGTGTTTTCACCAATAGTCCTGTCAACCACTGGATCTCTGCACGGTCTCTCTAATTTCTCGAAGCTCGTCGGGCAATTCCAGGTCACGTTATCATGCACTACGCAGGACCACTAACGCTGAACTCAAACTACTCCGGGATGCTTGGCTGGCCTGATAGACGCGAAGGGGCATTGAAACGGAGCTGGTGGCCAGCTCGGGGAATTTCCGAATGCTTTTCCACCTGCTCCGTTCCACTGGCAGCAGAAGGCCAACTGTAAGCGAAGTTTTGTGCGAAACAAATAGCGAACCAATCCACTGTCAAAGACGCTGATTTGATCGTTGTGCTGAGCATTTTGAGCAACAGTTTAACTAGCCACGAGCACCGATGTGTTCCAATTCAGGATTCCAAAGTGTTCTCTGGTGTGTAGCCGCTTCATCACCATCTGAGGCTGAGGTTGCTCATGAGCTGCGCCTAAAGCGCTACAAAGCCCCTGGCCAAGGCGAACTCCCTCCGGCACTTTTCATAGATGGACGTCCATCACTTGTCCGGGAATTACCTTCCGTCCTCCAAGTTTGGACCACCGAAGCCATCCCGTTTGATTGGAATCTAGCGGATATCGTACGCATCTTTAGAAATGGTGTCCGGTCAGACTGTGCTAACCACTGAGGGATTAGTCTCATCTGCTGTAAATCGGAAGTGCTCGCCGCGCTGCTTTTAAGGAGGCGCAGCCTGGTGCGCGAACAGAATATACGCGAACAGCAAGCTGAGTTCTGCTCTGGTCGGAGTTGTATCGACCACATCTCTACTCTCCGCCAAACACGAGTGTTGTCAAACCTTCTGCCGGCCAACGATCGTTGTCTTCTTAGACATACGAGCTGCGTTTAACTCAGTTGACCGAGCTGTTCACTGGAGCTGTATTTTTCGAAGGGGGGTGCCTGAGAAATACATCAACCTTATTCGAGCCATCTACTCTTGAACCTCAGGCATAGTGCGGGTGTACGGCGAACATTCATCCCCCTTTAGTATCATCAGTGGCGTGAAACAGAGCTGTCCAGCATCACCCTTCCTGCTCAATTTCGCTATAGACGACATCCTAGAGAGCGCTCTGGAGAACTGCGGACCCAGTGGCGTTGAACTGCTTCCGGGGGACCGACTTCGGGACCTGGAGTATGCAGACGACATCGCCGTGGTTTGCGATTTTTCATAAGCCGCCCAAAATGTGTTGTGCAGATTGGAGGTGTCTGTTACCCAGTATGCAGTGACCTCTCCCTCAAAGTGTAAGGTCTTTGTACAGGACTGACTAGGAGCTGCTCCCATTCTTACTCTCTCAGGTCATTATTTGGAAGTGGTAGATAAGTTCGTTTACCTCGAAAACTGCATTAGCGTTAACGGTTTAACAGTTTAACGGTTTTGCACTTCTCTAAAACCTGAGTTGCGTTTGCTAATCTCTGCTATTGCATCGACGCGACCTGAGTCTATCCTTGTAGGGCCGAGTCCACAATACCACGGTGAGAGCGGTTCTGCTCTACGGTTGTGAGACGGCCTGTTCATGCAAAAGACGTTCAGAGGCTGTTTGCCTTTGATCATCGCTGCCTCGGAGCATTGCTGTCCTGCGGCTCCAACATCACATTAGTAATGAGAATGTTCGCGGAAGGATTTTCAGATCAGACAGATCTTGCTGGCGGCTGAGCCGCATAATTTTACTGCACAGGCTTCGGTGATTTTGGCATGTGCTTCGCATACCTACTGGGCGTTTGCCTCACCGTGCACTGTTTGCGCAAACAGGAGTCGGCTGGAAGCGAAGACAAGGTGGTTAGTGAATGACTTGGGCCAAAAATATCAAGGTGCTGACCTCACATTTGGACGTGGCCGGGCGCTCTCAACTTCCGTTGTTGGGGGCGCAACGATTACGAACACATGACTGGAAACCGTGTCGGACATGTCAAGAAACCGTGAGCAATGGCAAACCTGTTGTGAGACTCTGCCCCCATAACTGCTGTTCTACACTTCGTCTTTAACCCCTATATTCTTTCATTATGATTGTATTATATTTGTCCATACGTTGTGGCACCCTGCCATTTATACTGTTGGTCAGGTGTTTATATATATATATATATATATATATATATATATATATATAACAGATGGAGGTTTTCTTATAAGTGTTATGATCTCCGTCTCTGTGTACTTCGATAGATGTGACCGTTTTTTTTACTTTGCCTTGTTTCTCTTCCATTGAAGTTTTCATCTTCTACCCTGGTTCCGGTTACACAAATGTTTATTGGATAGGGACACACGATAACTTTTAACTAAACCTGAGGCACGAGTTCACCAGCTATCTTTCTTATACTTCTCATTAGCATATCTTCGTTGCCATATTTCAGCTCCTGCTTTCTTTTCTACAAATCACCGCAAGACGCTCTGCGGGCATTTGAATCGCGCCATGGGACATTTATTCACGGAGTCCCAATCTATGTGAATTTTGCACTCAAGCAACCGAACAAAGTGAGCTTTGTCTCTTGTTCACTTTATTTTCTGCCAGAATAACCAGTTGAAGCTTGTTTTTCCACCTTTCAGTGCACCACTCTTTTATCACAATTATGCACTGACCAGCACCATAACCAGCGGTTAAGTAGCATTTCAGCTGTAGCACATTTCACACCCGGCACGGTCCATGGCTTACCTTGCACCAACGCGATTCTTACGAATTCCACTCTCCATTGACGTTATTATCGTTATTTTACTACACTCTGTGGTTTGTCCACAGTTATTTTTCTTGTATTGTACATGTTACTAACTACTAGTATGAGCCATTGTTAAAAACAAACACCAACTTGCTACTTCGAATAGCTGACTGGCTAAAGGGTGCAGTTTCAACTTGTGGGAAAGATATGGCTAATAAGTCACCCACCTTTAAGGACCTCCACAATTTACTCGTTTGTCGCCAACCCAGGTTATCGCTAGTCTCTATGGCTCACGTCGCTCTGTTGGCTTGGATCTCGCGCTCTCTCTTGGGGCTGCACCTGAGTTCCTGTCGTTGAAGGCTAGTTTCATGCTTTTCTGCATCTACTCTTCTAGGTGAATCACTTTCTGGACCTACAAATATTTATGCTTATGAACACCAAGTAACTTATTTTCCCTATCTCTCTGCTGTCGCACGCAAACTGCCGTACCTTTGCATTCGATTCCAGGTCACCTCCCTAACGGGCATCGCAGAAATGAAAGGAGTCTCCATATCGTCCGTTTTTTTTGCCTTCATGCATCTATTCACAGCCGTAAACAGAACTGCACACAAATTCAATCTGTTGAACTGCTCTTCAAAACATCATTGCTCCCTCCGCACTTCATACCTTTCGTCTCTTTTACTGTACTATTTCTGTTCCCATAGGTTTTCCATATACTGTTGCCTTCAGCACACCGATATACATGTTCTCTTGTCACACTTCCTAATCTCTTGAAATCCAACATCGTCTACTACTCTTGATACTTTCATTACAGCCCAACGCCTCCTCTATTCTCACACCAGATGATCTCGATGGTGCGACCGAGCGAACCTCTGTCAAGCGTTCCGCTCCAATGGTGGACGTTTTGGAGGATGGCATTACTGCTGAACCACCAGTCAAGCAGGCGCGTGTCGTTGAATCAACGAAAGAAACAGAATTTCTGATTGATCGAGCACCCGGCAAAAAGCGGGAAACGCCAACATCCAATTTATCTAAAAAGTCCAACTCTGAGGCCACGAATCGACGAGCCGATCAACCGCATCCAAAGTTGCTCAGCAAGCACCAGTTGAAGCGGAAAGGTGACCGCCAAAAGTCCACAGCTACATCTACTCTGAATCTACTGCTGCATCCACAGGCTTCGAAATCCCAACGAAGCAAGAAAACAAAGCGCTTGACCAAACGGGGTAAACCGAGCAAGCATCGTTAAACTGAGTTCTCATCGTGAGTTTATGCGTAATATTTTGGGTTTCCACAGAGGTGTGCTGAGCCGTTCGGTTTAGACGCGCTTCACCAGCAATGCATACCGTTTAGCCAACGAATTAACATTTATTCTTTTTTTCACACCCACTGACTTGAATTTTTGTTCCGTGTACTTTAGAGAGCACTAGAATTTGTCTGCTATGTCACCAACTTTTCATACGTCACCAAAACTCATTTGATCTTTTGCCGCCGCACCTCTTTTCCATGATAGGTGCGTGATGTGTTATCTCTGTTCGAGCAAGGCAGCTCACTCGGTTCCTGTGATCTTCCGTCATTTCTAACAGTTCTGGTCATTTGGTGAACTGTGATCTGAGTGCCGAAGCGCTTTGGATCCATCTTCTATGACGCGCGCCGTCAACAGAATGGGAAGAAGCGTGACAGTTAACAGCGTACGCAGACTAACAGACGCAACTTTGTCTCTAAACCGGTAGGAAGGAACACGAAATTTTTGAACCAAATGTCATTAGAATGAATTATCTGGCCATGTGAATAAGCTTTCCGTGTTGAAATGACATTGTGCTGCTGGACCCGACGACCTTCCTCTATCTTTGCTGTAAGATGCAGGTGACTACTTGTTGACTGAGCTTTCCTTTCTATTTAACATGAGTTGGAACACTGAAGGGGTGCCTTCAGGCTTGCGGCTGTCAAGTGTCGTGCCCACCTTCAGGAAGGGTCAGCGTACTTTGTATTAAAATCATTGCCTCCTTGCCTGTCACGGACATCATTCTCCGACGACTCGCTGGTCCCTGTAAGAACCGGTTCACTGAAAAGCAGGCTGGCTTCTGCCCTGGTCATAGTTGTATCGGCCGCATATTTACTCTTCGCCAAGTGTTGGAACAGACACACATACAGACGACCGACAATGTTGCTTTTCCTTGACTCTGATGATCGAGACAGCTTGTGGCACTACCTATCCATGAAGGGCGTGCCAGCTATTTTCCTTTCCATTCATAACTCTCTCTACCGTGGTTCCCAAGGCCTTGTAAGGATCTACGGGAACTGTCTCCTGAGTTCCCCACGACAGGTGGGGTTCGCCAGGGTTGTCCTATACCTCCTTTCCTTTTCACCTTTGTTATCGAAATGAGCATGAGTGACTCCGTTCTTTTAGTCTATTCTGGAGTGGTAGTTCTACCAAGTGATCGACTGATAAACTTGGAGTATACCGGCGACATAACTCTTCTGGGGCCAGACGTAGTGGCTATGCAAAACCTTCTGGATAGACTGACTTGTCCCGCTGTACGCTTCGGCATGTGTTTTTCACCTTCAAAGTGCAAGGTCAGGTTACAGGAATGGACCGGCACACCTCCGGTTCTGGCTATCACCGATCAGCTACTGGAAGTGGAGGATCGGTTCACTTACCTTGGTAGCTGTGTCCCATCTGATGGTCACATCAGTGAGGTAGTTACTTCGCGTATCAGCAAGGCTCATGTGGCTTTCCAGAGACTTAACCATCTATGGAGACGGTAGGATATCAGCCTGTCAGTGAAAGATAGGGTGTATTACGCTGCGGTAAGACCGGTCTTCCTGTATGGATCAGAGACCTGGCCACTTCGCGTCAAAGACATTACACGCTTGGCCGTATTTGACCACTGGTGCTTGTGGAGCATTGCTCATGTCTGGTGGGAACACCGGATGAGCAATGCTGAGATCCACTAGTTGGTTTTTGACAAGCAGCCTTCTGGTGCCTCACTGGAGTGTTTGCTTAATCTTATTCGCCTACATTAGCTAGGTAATGTTCTCCGTATGCCCGTTGACCGGCTACCTCGGCGTGTATTATACACCGTAGCTTCATCAGGTTGTGTGGAACTGCGAGGTGGTCCGTCCATGACGTGGCATAGTGGGTAGAAGAAAGTGACTGAGAGATTTGGTCAGTCGAGTGCACACCATCTTCCTGGATAAGGGCCTCTGGATGGTCCACACCAGTGACTGGAAACCGTATCAAAAATGGCGCAGTCACGCGGTCAGTGGCGTTCCTGCATTAGGTTTCTTGCATCTGGTTGTTAATTTTCGTTCTATTTTGGTTACTTTAACGCACCTCTCTCTTACTTCCATTTTCTTTACATTCTACTTGCATTCAACTCTACCGCCTTGACTTTGTTAATTATTGTTGTTCTTGCGATGTGAGTCGTGGTTACTGAATCCACCACACTTTGGTGCATGGATCATAGTAGTTCGATTGAACTGAACTGAATGTGTGCGGCAACACTGACTAGAGGACTTCGGCATTACATGATCGGCAGCCTCGCTATACATAAGCGCTGTTACGCAGCACTAGTGTTCAGATGCATCCAGTCTCTCAATGTTCTTAGCCCATTGCAGTCACTGCCACGTTGTCCATTCCAAAGTTGTTTTGTGTGAAGTTTCCCATTTTTCCATGAATGATTGAAACCTGGAAATGTCCCACAGCCTTTGACTATACACACCGCAGCCCATCGGTGACAGACCGCCGCTGGATAATTTGGCAGGTCGATTTATTTGATTCGTTTTTGGTAGCTGCGCGATTCGGCTGTGCTTACCAGCTCTTGCAACTGTATCTAGCATATTAAAAGTGCGAGGAACTCACTAAAGCGTATAATGCTTCGAATCAGTTTGTCCGGAAACACTTGGATATTGCCTGGGCCTAGTCACAAGCGATCTATATCATCTACGTACTTCATCATCCCATCACTTGGCTGAAAGCCTTTTCTGAAAGACAGACACTAGAGTACTATTCGCTATCGTTTCGATTGCCAAATTTGGGAGTTTTGTACGTATGGAACTTCTTTGGATCTCTTCACTTGGTACTCATTCAAAGCAAGTAAAGATCGCATAACCTATCCGTTTCCCTTTCGGTTGATGCTCTAGAACGATCAGCTGATGGCCACGAGAGATTTGGAGCCATTAACTGGAGGGTTTGACTGCTTTGGCGCATGTCACCTCCCTGTACGCGGTCTTAAATTTCAGTCGCATCAGCGCTTAGAAACATTTTCCGATTACCCGCAACGGGGGTGTCTTTGATGCATACAATAACACTGTCCACACTGCAGCTTTGTGAACTCTTGGGGTGTCAGAAGTGCCAAGTAAGAGTAGCACCGCTGGCAGAGCACCTCCGGCGTAGTCCGCCTTTCTTTGGTCTCCATCGATCACCCAGCTCTCACCTGTCGCTCCAAGAAGCTGCTTGCACGCGGCAGCGGCCACATCCCGGTCAACCATCAGGCAGAATGAGCTAAATCACATGAGGGTAGCAGGAAATACTATTCTCGGTGAGTTCGAACTTGCGTGTAATGTCAGTCCTCACAACTGGGCGCAAGATATGGACCTCTACTCCAACAACCACAAAATAAGACAATTTCCCAGATCCCTCCTGCCTTGTAGTTAGAACTTGGCTGTGCAAATGTCAGAGGTTAACTCTCGAACAAAGTCGGATAACGTTGCGGTCTTCATACTTACCCATAATCCCCAATAAATTTCATGACATATCCGTTACTCGCGATTCTTCTCATGCGACGTCGTTCCTGGTAGGCGACGCGCTCTGCGCTGACCCAGTGGCCACAGTGACAAGTAGGTTAGCTGGGTCCCTCAATCCATAGAAGTCGTTGTTCATTGGATGCTGGAATGTCAGAACCCTGTTGGATATCGGCAACCAAGCTTTGACGATGTATACACTACATAACTACCAGATCAATATGGCATGACTATCGGACGCTCCAATATCGGGTTTTCGCAATCGACAAATCAAAGTATATGGTGTAGACACCTCATATGGCTTTACGACAGGGAACCAGAAGATGATTCTGGCATTCAAGGGGTCCCCATGGCTCTTAGTTGCCAGGCGCCCAACGTTCTCCTTTCATAGAAACCAACCTCAGCTAGAATATCAGTCGCTCTTTTCAACGGGCAACGATATATATATATATATATATATATATATATATATATATATATATATATATATATATATATATATATATGGTTGGCGGCCCCCGGTTTCGGATTTGCCTATCACTATGGCCAGCCACAGGACGCCTGCGCCTACAGAGGGACCATGCGTGGCTTGCGCTGCACCACCCACAGCTCCAACCACACACCCCATATCCTGTGTAAACCCGAAGGAATAAGACCGGGAGGCATGTGGATGGGAACCACGTTTCATCAACGGAGCCGGCCCACACTCCTTCACAGGCAAACACAAGCACACTGTATTCGGGAATCAATCGCACACAAGGCGGTGGCTGGACCGTAGTCCGTTCCACACTGACTGCATGGAACCACTGTTTGATCCTAACACGGCCACAAGGACCGTGCACCCTGTCCCCTCCAGCAACGACCAACTGTCTCCTGGAGCCAGTATGGACGAGGTAGTGGGTAATAGACAGGTAGGCACCTTGTCAACATGCACATCAAGCGCATCCACACCGGGGATATCAAACAACAGCCAAACACTTGAGAGAGAGAGAGAGAAAAAGAGAAAAACTCGATTAATGCACAAGGAAACGGTGATATAAACCTTAATTAAATAGCATATGTAATAAGTTGATTACAAACAAATCCGCTATATATATATATATATATATATATATATATATATATATATATATATATATATATATATACGGGAGAGCTTATGGTGCTCTGAGGCTTGTGGTGACTAGATCCTGATAGTCTACCCACAGCTGCTACTGTTGTGCATCGGGCCTATCCTGAACGCCCCCGCGTGGCGATCGCCGGGTGGGAGTTGGGTTACGCCCTTCTCCTAGCTAAGAGCCAGGATACCAATCCGCATGATTCAATAAACTGATCATGTGCTAGACGCGCTGTCTTTCGGATGTACATTCCATCGAAGGCTTTGGCTAATGACATGATCAAAGTGAGTCTCTCACGTTCTAATGTTGATTGCAGGTCATTGCAATCGAAAGCGGTTGATCGACGTTCATTGCGCGACCTTATCTCTAAGACAGTTGCTGAGATGCAAGCGCAAGCCC